GATGTTTCTTAAAGATCGGCGAACTGTAGAACGGTCTGATTGAAGTTTCCCAACCGATCCTTCAGCGGATACAAGGGAATCCTGTTCGACTGTCGTTCGTAACAGATCCCCGTGAAAACTTTCGGTCGGTTCATTTCGCCGGCTGTAACTCTCGGCTAGGAACTTTTGGATTCGCTGATAATTGTCATCCCGTAGTACGTTCGGTGTCTCTCCATGGATTTATGCAAGTCACGCGAATAGACAGGTTCTTGCTAAACATTGCAGATTTAGTAGATCATTATGAACGAAATGGAAAACGTTTTCTGTGTCTCGATTCACTGTTTATTAAGAAATTTTCTATGTGCTTGAAACACTTTTAATAAAGAAATAATGAAACTTGTTTACCCGCTAAAAAGTATTTGTTGAATTTTTGTGGCACTATAAATACATAATGATTTGGAATATGGTTATAATAAAGATTTCGAATTACGTGTTTACCTTGTCATATTTTATAGTTCAAAGAACGGTGTCGAATGTCAGAGCAAAATTAATGTGTTAAAATTATATAACTATTCTAAAATTCAGTATCATTCACACTTAGTCAAATATACTCGAATGTATAATTCTCCAAAAATTTCGATCGTAGTAAATCAAATTTCCAAATATACACAAGGAAAACCTTTCACAAACAAAAACGTAATCACTTCCCATTATTTTCTCTCAAATTCGTCTCCCAACGAAAAATTCCCAGTGACATACAAAAATAACAACTCTCTTTTCCAATTTCACAGAAACAAAAATAATCCTAATTACAGAACTAACATTTCCTTCCAAAAAATTAATCAAGTATCCAAACGACATCCAAAAAGAAAGAAACGTACACTTTTCATCTCCACCTCGTAAATGGAACCGCAATTCCGTTCATCCCCACGGTAACCCATGTGCGCAGTATCCAACGTGTGACCAATAAAAAAAATACTCCTCGGAGGAACTCCGTCGACCCCGAAATAACACTTTCCAAGAGGACATTATTTTTTTGCTCGCACGAGAGTTTCGGAAACGCTCGGGGAACACGTTCCGCGGCAAATAGCGTACGCGGCCGCGTGAAATTTCTCGCAGTTGGTCTCGATACAGCTCTTTTTCGTGTTGGTTGCCGCGCCGTGCGAGCTTCCGGTAACTGACCGTAGTTTCCGGACTGCGAGCGAATCAAGAAACGGTCGAGGCAACGTTTCGCGGTACAATGGACGATTCCTGGCGTGGAAAGACTTCGCGTGGATTTGGCGAAACTGGCGAGCCGATTATCCGCAATCATACGCTTTGTCGGGAAAGGGATGGCGTTGCGGGTTTTCGGTGCCGCGGACGCAGAAGAATGGCCGGAAATGAAGGAGCTTCGATCCTCGAAGACACCGCCGGTCGCCGGCTTATGGAGCCGTAAAGCGATGAAAGGTCGTAAGAAATTTGAAACGTCGTAAAACTTTATCGCGGACACCTGCCAGTGAATTAAATTCTCGCATTCAATACGTTCGTTCAACGTCCGGCTCCGTACTCTGTATTAAATCGCTTCGGTTCTCGACTTCGATGAACCATCCCTTGGTTTTTAATTCAGAACGGTGGGACATATAGAGGGATTTGATTCTATAAGGATATATTTTCTAATGACGTTATGTTCGTATGAATACTGTGTGCTTGGAATTTTATTAACGCTAACTTTACTGGACGCGTCAGTCTGACGTATATTGAGCTTTGTAAACATTATTTGAAAAATGTTTACATCGATTTTGATTGATGCACTAACAGAAATGTGTATTTTAATTATCTATCTTTAAATTACTGATTTCCAGAATCTAAATGAATAAATACACATTTCTCTAACACCAATATAATAAATTGTACAGTAAATGTCCGTAAATCTAGTGTTAATGAGATATATGGAATAGAAATATTATTATAATTTAGATATTTGTGTATAGTTTATTTAGGAATGTTATAGCATTTAGTAACGAAATCTGTATTCATAGGTTATTCGATAGAAATTGTTTCATAAAATATATGTAAACTTTCTATTTTCCAATGTCCATCAAATTCAAGTCTGAATTCGTCCAATTCACATTGCAGTCAATTAACACCTTTCGTGAATTCTCTAATTAGCGAGGAAACAGCTGGCAATTGAAAAAACTGAGGATATTAATTTCTAACATAGTGGGAAGGTATGCTGCCTCTAGAATTCCTTGTGAACTAAAGGCGCGTTGTAAAGCTGGAACATCCTCCGAAAGGATCGTCAGTGATTTCCAGGTCGAGTTAGACCGGTCGACGAGCGCACTCGATACCTCGAAACAAGAACGCGGTACGTTCCTTTCCCCGGCTGACGTAAGAAGTCGGTCGGGGGAAAATAAACCGCGCGCATTAAAGCTCGCGAGACGTTGCCGCGCGCGGTTAATGTTGTTCCCTTCTTGCGTAGCTTCGTTATCTCCCTGGTTCCTCCCGTCGGGAGTCGGTCGGAACCTTTCCCGCCCCGTGGGATGGGGTAGATTTTACGAGACGTAGGAAACTAGTTTCACCCCACGGTTGTTTCAGTGGCTTCGATTTGATCAGGACAATAGCCGGGAAGAAGTCACGGAGCCCGTAACGTCTGAACTTCAGCGACGTAAGAATGGAATCAGGTTAAACCTTATAGAGCATTTTGAACCTGAAACGCCGCGGAGATTTCTTTGCAATTCGTACTTATGCACGAAAAATGATGCTGGATAGAAAAACGATTCTGAGCGTGCTAAATTTTTTCTCGGATGTAGGAAAGATTCTTTTTAACGTGAAAATGTAGAGTATTGCTGGTAATAATTTAGGAGGCAGAATTTTTGAATTTTATCCTTAAACGATTATAACAATTTTGTCTTTAAGAAATAGAAATTGTATTTTTTAGAAGAAAAGTGGAATTGTAATACTGTTAGTAAAGATAAAAAAATTAGAATATATTTGCAAGCGATATATGGGAGATTAATAAATTCTATTGTAATGGGTATTAGCAAAGAATTTTTGAATTACCGAGTACCATTATATTGTAATCTACCTTGAAATGTCGCCATGCATAATAATTTCATTCTTTTGTTAACTAGAATGAATCATCTTAATAATTACCCAAAACGTACCGTGTATTGTATAACCGTGTATTGTGAAACAAGAATGTTTGGACTTTATTGAAGCAGTTAATTTTCGATGAGTGAGAAGTTGTCTGTTTTAATGTAATACTCAGTTACCAGTGATTCTAGTTCCAATATGGCGGAAATCCTAGCCGGTCATTCATCCGTTCTTTTAGATCACGAGCAAGCGCTAGGAGGGAAAAACGGTCCGCAGAATTATAACACTTTCCAGGTGTCCGACTTGAATTAAGCCCATTTTTAAAAGGCGACCGCCCACCGTCGGCTTTTTCGCCGCGGTCTCTATCCCGCACCGGTATCGCGATTTCTTCTAGCTAATATTTCAGCAGGAATTGTGCTGGCTGCGAAGTCTACGGAAATTAGATCTCGGCCGTGGCCGGCGCAATTTCGAGCTGCGACATCAACCAAATAATACGCTCGTATGTCTCCGTGACTCGTTGTCCGCGAGCTTGGTACTTCTTAATGCGATCTCAGCACGGACAAACGGAAATCATCGCTGAGTACTGCGATGGAAACTTGAAAACATAAGGTAAAAGCTTGGCTTGGCTTTTTAGAATTTTGAAATATTTGCAGACGTCAGAAGTTTTTGTAAGTGAAAGTATGTCACTCCATGGCAGTGATTTTGATAGATTTTTAACGTTCTCTTGTCAGTATTGCTCAATTACCAGAATACTATGATTTTAATCATATTTCTTCGCGGATATATAGCTATCAATATGTAGGTATCAGTTAAGTTAATGTGTCCTTTATAAATAATAATAGATCCGTGAAAAAAGGTTTTTAATTTTAAACTGATTCCAGTAACAAACGAGCTAGGGTTTGATGATTAAATGATTAGAATGATATCACTGGCTAATATATACATTCTTATCGATTTAAATAACTCTCTTCAGCTAATTTGTTGCCTGCGTGAGCAACTTCTTAATAATTCTACGTTAATCAATGCTGTTCTTTTACAATATAAAAGTTAGAGGACCATCGGTGTAATCGCAGCGCTAACTGCAACGTTTCGTTTTAAACTGCCGTCATATAGTTCTAGAGTTATCGTCACTTCCTCGTCGGGGTCTCATCATCATAGTCTCCTCTGAAACTATCGTATAATACGGGACGTTTCACCGTAAGCTGTCTTGTCAGCTGCCTGTCTTGTCTGGTCTTTGACCTCTCCCCCTTTTCCCCAACGAATTTCGAACTCTCACGACCAAAGAGTCACACCTAGCCAGCTGGGGAACTTGCACTTCCGTGTTCGGGACACTAGATTACAGAGATTTGTGTTTTCTCGAAAGGTATTGTAACGTCATTAACAGTTACAATGTATTCTCCTTTATTTTTGGAATACAACATATAAGAAATATAAATAGAAATAAAGTTTTTAAATTAGTGATTGTCAACACAGACATAACTGTCAAAGTAGATATCACAGATTTTTCTGAATCCGAACTTCCTCTAATTTGCATATGAACTGATCGTGAACGATTCTTAATACTAAATTTACTAGACTACCGAAAGTTTATATTACAATACATATCCTAATTCTCTATTCTCGAAGCTCTAATTTCCAAGAGCTACAGAAGTGAATACCTATCTCCCTAGGTACAATACACTAAGCTATACAATAAGGTGTACATAAATCTAGTTTCAATCAATATCTCCAACCCATTTGCATAATTATCGTACCTACAGTCTCAGACAAAATTGCCAATAAATATTCATTCAACATCAGCACAATATATTATTCCTATCATTACTATTATTATTTACTACACGATTATAATCTCATCTATGTATTCCCACATATTAATCATCCAAACGTAACGAAACATGATACAAATAGGTTGAATCATTGAAAAACAGATGGATTTGGTTACTCACATTGGACGTCGAGAAGGATGCTGGCGTTTATGGGCACAGCCAGCCTGGCGTGGCGCGCGACGCAAACGATGGTGGCGTTGTGGTGACCCCTCAAGACCTTAAGGTGAGCCCCACTGTGCCTGCCAGACGTCGAGGGCAACACGGTCAGATTGTCCGGCGGTTGCTTCGGACCATCCAAAGTGGCCTGAGACAGAGTCATTCCCCATTCTAAATCGGGCGGCGGGTTGCCACCCTCGGCGGCGCACTCCAGCGTCAACTCGGAACCCTCTTTCACCGGCACAAACTGGTTTCCTGGATCCAACCGACGACCATCTATCAGCAGATACGTCCCCCGAGGCGCCTCTGTAACAAATCCAAGCATCCGGTGAGTCCTTCGATTCGCAACCCCGTAACGATGAAAAATCCTGCTGGTTGTACCGGGTGTACCAAAATACAGTGGAGCATTGATCATCCGAACTAATTAGGATCAAGATAATTCGGATACTCTAACAGTGAGATCATTAATTTTGAAGCGGTTGTGCGTTGGTAGAGATACTTGGAAATGCAATATTACGTTTCAACAGTTAAAATATACTTTTCTTTTTAATAGAACTGAATACTTTTTTCTATGAATCGATGCTTTCAAGTAGTCTTTGTATAGCTATGTTAATGTGAGATATTTGGAAAGTGAATTGGTCGAGATATGTTTTTTAAGTGTATACTATATTCTTTCTACCAGTTTCTATTATCATATAAAGTTCTCTTTTAGCACAGAAAGATCTACGTTTAAACGATTATCCTGTTCCTTGTGTAAGTGGTTATAAAACCTCATACTTTCCTTTGAGATATCGAAAGATTCGAAAGAAATAGTGAAATATAGATACTGCTTTAATCAGGTACACAAGGTAAGTATCGTTACATGTAAAGTAGAATGGGAACTCTTTTAAGCTCACGAATAAAGTACAGAGATCTCTAGACGAATAAATATGGTAAGTACTATACAGAACTGACAGATAGAAGAGGAATGGTTAATAGAAAGTTGATCCCAAATGGACAAGTAGAATATGTACATTCAAAGCCAGAACATTTCCTTTCTGTCATATCTATAATTTAAGAATATCAATCCGACCGTAGTTCACCATATTACAGTTATGCTCAGGAAACTGAGGTCTTAGACAGTCGTGTAACATACGTCCAAATTCTTAACAGTAAGATACAACCGTTGCCACTATTGTAAGTTGAAAATGATTTCAACCGAACAATTAAAAACTAAAAAAACCTAATTTAGATAAATATTATATGACACACTTGTATTCAAACAAATATCAGAGATTATCTGAAATTACTATTTCAGACAAATTGTAAATTGCACTAAATACTATCAATAATGATAACACATTCCCTACATAATAATAGTACTTAAAAGTATTACAGCAGTTTTAATTAAAAGAAGCTCAAGTACACAAAAAAAATATTAGTAACAACGAAAACAACTAAATTCTTCCTAGAAGTGTGTACACTTTCATAAACAGTGTATCATGAAATATAGTTAATATTCTGCCACTATAAAATCCAGTTACCCAGGCCACGTGTTTCAGAAAATAGGATCGCCGTAAATCACTTGTAGAGAAAGGTTTCATCTAGTGGAACAATTCCGTTACGAAAATAAATTGCATCGAAACGCTAGTACCCACCGTGAACATGGCGAAACCAATACGGAAATTCAAATTTAAATAGTCCTCGGATTACAATGCCTGCGTACCGATTCCACTTCCAAGAAAGTAACTCATGTAAAATAGTGATTACGGTTCCAAGTCTTTGAGAAGCTATCAGAAAAACAGGACCGAGTAAGTTATCCGGACAGGAGAGAGAATGGAAGCAATAAGAATCAACTTTTCCATTCAAATTGATCGTGCTTATGCAATCGAAGTGTGTGCCAAGCATTCGAACGGGATGTTTCTCGTTCCCAGGTCTTCGTTCGCGATAAGATCCAGCCACGTTCATTAAATTCCGACGTAGCCGTCCGATCTTGCCAAAACAGCTGCAGGAGACGTCCCCGAAACGGATTATGGAAACGAAAACGCGTGCAGATTTTCCAAGAGTGGATCGAGACCGCAATCTCCGCCACGTGCTCCGATTCCAGGTAATAAAACGGCCACGTTCGGAATCAGTCGGTACTAATTACACTATTTCGGTCGCGGCTCCTTTAATTACCGCTGCACGATTTAATCGTTTGACGAGTTCATGAATTTGGGAGGTACGAATACTAGGAATTGAATTGTAAAAGTCGTGATCGAAGAAGAAGTGTTTAGAAGGTTTGAGAATCTTGCATTTATTTTGAAACGTGGTTTTTAAGTGGCATTGTTGGTTTTTAAGTGGCAATAGATTTGTCTATAATTTAGTGGATTAACTAATTAAAATGATTAAAATGATTAAAATTATTAAAATTATTAAAATTTAAACTATTGAAGCTATTAAATACGATTAAAACTTCAATCTTTAATAAAAACTATCGAATACACTTAAAACTCAGAACTTCATATTTGAATTATTGGAAAACTTCGAAAAACGACAGAATTTCGATATTTTGAACTTAAATCTGCTCCATTTTATTGAGTTTTATTTTCTTTTCGGTTAAAAGTGAAAAAATTCTAGTCAATAATGCTGGAATTGTTATTTTGAAAGTATGTACACCTAATATTGTTATGTCAATGTAAGATAATTGTGAAAGTATTTATTAAGCATAGATGAAATTATGATTACGCTAATATCTTTGCGCTGTACGATGAGTGTGGGTCCTAATAAAATGTAGTATTCGAGAACTTAATTGAAACGTATATATTAAACGGCTTTAAGTATTCATTGAGCGGTTCTAGAGTAATAAGAATTCTGGAAAGAATTTCATACATCAGCGTCAGTTCAACCGTGACGTTATCATGAATTTTAAATTAGTAACCAACTTAGCTACCTATTTATATAACCTGGAAAGTGTGTAGCATATTTCTGTTATACAAAAGCAGTTAATCTATTTATTTCATGAAAGAACATTTTTGTTCACTCGGTCATTTAAGCATATAAAAATAGAATTGTCTGCTCGTTGACAAGCTTATTCCACCGTTCGTGTTAACCCCGACTTCAATTCCGCGTTATCGGATATTGACGACCTCAATTTCGCAATTCCTGATCGAAATTCAACTCAATACCATTCACCTCGCTAATTACGGCATTTATTATACTTACCTCTGTTCCGCAATTTCTGATTGAAACTGAAACTACACCACTCAACCGGCTAATTACGGTCTTTACGCCCCGTGTGTTACTTGCGTCAACAGTTTATTTGGAAACATTTAATATATTGGGTGCGCAGCAAAAATCAAACATAATATTTACCTTTTGCAATGTTTGCTTTTATATGAGAATTATTTTATATTCCATTCCAATGACTTCAACATATTTCTGTAAAAACCATCGCTCTCCTAGTTTCAGCTCTGATTCATCGTACAAATATAGTAACCTCTCACCTATTTTAAATTGTTACAAAAAATTTGTTACGAGGACTATTTAATTGTTACAAAACCTATACTATATAATACACCAACCAATGACGTACCAAATCCCAAATTAAAATGAATTATAAATCAAGCAAATTGACATCATCATTAACGAAACACACTTAAGATCCACTTTTATGATCCCAATGAACCGCGTTTAATTCGCAGACGACCCGCATTTTGATTCTCACTTATCCAATGATTACATAGAGTTTACAGGCCACTTGTTCAGCCATAAACGATCAATGCGCCACTTAGCTGACTCCGAATGCTCCTCCTTCTGCTTGCCTAATCACACGTGGATACAGGACTTGGATGACTCATTTCAATCGTAATAATTTCTCCCGGACCACGCGCATTCAGCGCACCTGAACCGTGCGCAGCTTCGAGTTCCGCTAATGAATACGTGCACAGTTGACCGTGCCGGGTCCGAGCAAAGATGAAGGGACGAGACAACCACAGTTTGTACGCTGTGGATCGTATCGCCGGACGTAAAAGCGCACGAAGAATTTGTGAAAAATCCGGACGCGCTTTGCATACGCTTTTCGCCTCAATTTTCAGTCTAAAAATCACGGAGCCGCTCCCTCCGTTGGAAAGGTTCCAGATCCGTGTAATGCGATCGCGAATCGCGGAAAGGAAAGGATTCTGTGGGAAAGAAGGTTCTCGTAACGGTGGTTATATAATATATTCCGTCGCGAGCATACGCTCTTCTTTGAAGGACGAACAAACGCGCCAATTCGAACGGGACCCGCGATACTTCCTTCCCATTCCTTTATTTACTCGAGCGCTAACAAGAACACTCGGTGCACGTCGAAGGGCGGAGGGAAATGCATTGTGAATTGGTTCAGACAACAAACACGTTTAATAAAATACAAATTTGTAGTGCGTGCTGTATTGCGCGAGGAAATTCAGGAATAGATTGTTTGTGGTTTTAAGAAGGTAGTTGGATCGTTATGAGCTTTTTCTCAGCGTTTTTGTTCACTGCATTGATAGAAGTAAATGATAGTGTAGTATTGTAGTTTTTTGTCGATTAGATATAGTCAGTTGTCTGAGCTGTTTTTGTTCTATACCATTGGTTGGCGTAAAAGATATAATAATAGAATAGAATATTATTGCTTGTCTAGCTTATAACAGAATTTTAAAATATCGGTCTCAAGTATATACAGTTAATAAATATTTTCTCACAATAAAATATGAATTTAGAATTTGGATTTTATTGTACGAAAGGACGCAATACATCTAAACTTCATGAAATTACATACGATTAATGAATACTCTTACAAAAATTCCTTTCTTTCAATATTCTATCATTCAAACTGTTCATACGTTCCCAATAACACCCAACAAACACAATTCTCAAATCACCAAAACAACTACGAACAACCCGAAAAATTCAACAGTTTCATTCCAACCTGAATACGCATCAAAAACTCCACAAAGAAAGAAAGATACACTCAAAATACTTTCCAAAAACCTAAGCGTCTTGTTCACACCGTATCGGTTAGAAGCAACTGCAGAATCCGGGTCGCCGATGCAGGAAAAATGGTAGCGTCAAAATAACAGGCCGATCGAAAGAAAACTTCCCAGTTGGAAAATGCCCCGGCAAAGATGACGAGTCCGAAGAGTTGCCTTTTTTTGCTCGTTAAGTTCAACCGTCCGAACGCGAAGAAAAGGAAAAAAAGGGAGAACGTTAAAAAAGAAAGGGGAAAGGAGGGGGGGGAGAAAAAAGGTCGTGTGACCCGTGGAAGTTCAAACGAACGCATATATCGGGGATTTTAACGTAATAAAGTGGAAATAAAGTGGGTTAACTGA